TGTCTTATCGTGTTATGTCAACCTGAATAAAAAACACTAAATTTTAATATTAATAGTTTATTCGTATTGTGTCCTATTATATCAACTCACATTATAAGTGGTGCATTTTGAAGTTAGTAGACTACTAATATCGTGTTTTATCACGTCAACCCATAAAATAAAAGAATCGTGTTTGTGTTGAAAATTTTGTTCTAATTTCAAATTCGTGTGGTGTATTTGTGATATCAACTTGAATTGCCACCTTTACATGTTACAAATATAATCTAGCTTATCAATGGGACAATATCTGGAGGTGGATGGGACCGGAACGAATACGTATGTTCCTTTGGTTGTTGGTTGGAGAAAAGTTGTTGACTAATAGTCGGAGGCTTCAACGTCACATGACCTCTTCAGGTGTTTGCCCTAGATGTAATATCTCTTGTGAAACTAATCTCCACGCTATCCGGGATTGCCCTCAGTCAAAAGAGGTTTGGAGGTTGGTGGTTCATCAAACCAGTTGGCAGGTATTCTTCTCGCTTAATCTGCATGACTGGATCTTCTCTAACTTAAAAAATTGTAGAAGCTTGGCAATGGACGATGATTGGCCTTTGACTTTTGGGATATTAGCGTGGAGCATTTGGAGGAGCAGAAACACTTGGGTTTTTGAAGGAAAAATCAATAATGCTTACACAATTGCCCACTCAGCCTTGGGGTATAGCAATTGTGTCAAGCATACAGCTACCACTCTCCATGCAGCAGGTCTTCAATCGAGAAAAAGTGTAGAGAAGATGATAGCTTGGTCTTATCCTCCGTTAGGATGGGTTAAACTTAATGTTGATGGGGCTAGAGCTGGTAATGGGAACAGATCAGGATGTGGTGGTGTTATTCGTGACCCGTCCGGAGCTTGGATTATCGGTTTCTGCAAGAATTTGGGGCCAGGTACTGTTTTGCATGCAGAATTATGGGCTTGTTTGGAAGGTTTGCGTTTAGCTTGGGAAAAAGGATTTAGAAAAGTGTGGCTGGAAGGAGATTCCCTCTCAGCCCAACATATTATTTCTAATGGGTGTCATCAGGATCACCCTTCGTCGAGCTTGGTGCAACGTATTAGAGGAATGTTGCAAAGATGCTGGCAGGTCCAGATTTCTCATGTCCATCGTGAAGGAAACAAAGTAGCTGATTTCTTAGCTTCACATGCGTATAGCTTTCCATGGGATGTGCAAGTCTTTGATGACCCTCCTCCTGGCTGTCTTCAAAGTTTATACAGCGACACTGTAGGTGTTCGTTGGGCTAGGTTCTGTACTTAAGCCTTTTGCTGTGTTTTTTATTTCCTTTATCTTTCAAAAAAAAGTTAGCTGACTTATCACCTCTCAATTAATTAAACACATATTAATTAGTTTTGAACATTTTGAATATCAAGTATTAATTTTGAACATTTTGAATATCAAGTATGAATTTTTTTCATTTAATAATTCTATTTTAAGTAATTAAGAGAACAAGGAAATAGTGATTTTGGAAGGAGACTCTCTGGGTAACTCAGCAGCTAATAACCAAGGGTTGTTGTGATAAGTCCAATCCTTTTTATTCCTTGGTTCACAGAATCACGGACCTCATAGCGAAGTGATGGAAAGTGGAAATCTCATAGACACACGTAGAGAAGATAATGGTGTACCCTTGTGGATGTTACTGATTGGGATGGATACACACACGGGTTTAAACTACCTGCGGATGGTTGCAGGAGTTTGGCATTAAATGATAGTATGGACATTACTGTACCCATATTGTTGCGTAGTTAGTTTTTCTGTTGTTGTATTTTCCTAGTTTCAAAAAAAAAAAAGAACACAAAAGATGATTTGTAAAGAAGATAAAAAGCATACTGTACTAAAAAAAACACAGATAAAGCATAACTCAAAATTTAGTCATTAAATTTATTTTCTGTTGGCTGAATATAGTACTAAATTTATCTCAAGAATATACTTATATATATAATTTAATTAAATATTTTCAACTATTGAATTTATTTATAATTTTTATATTCTTTTAATTTATACTTCTTTGCTCCAATTTATATGAACTTTAATAACTTTAAATAAAGTGTTTTTTTTCTGAATTGTATTTCTTGTTTTCCTCCCTCCGAATATTTACCGAGTAAAATATCTTTATAAATAACTCTAACACAATGTATTAAGAGTGATACTACAAAATATTATGGATCAACTGGTAAGAGATTATTTCAACTTATTCAATAATTTCAAGTTTGAATTCCTGAAAATACAAATTTTATTAAAATTTGATATGAAAATTTTTACCGTCCATATAATCAACTCAAGTAATCATATAAATCGAACCCAAAACCGTTTTAACTACTAGATCTGTTTATCTTATTAATTGAGCCTTCGGGTGCTCATTGGCTTAACCTACCTAAGATCCACTCTAATATTTTGGACATGCCAATTTTTATCCAGTCCCAGCCCTATATCTTGTTGGGCCATGACAATTATGGGACGGACTCATGTCAAAATTTAAATAAAATATACCAAATTCAATGTTGTGCATGTTAAAGTAAAAAAAAAAAAAAATTAGAAATAAGAAACTCAAAGAGGTTTTTTTTTAAAAAAAATATTGAAAGGATAATACATTTACATTGCATGTAGTTCGTATAATGCTAATTTTTTTTTTCGTAGACAACATATAATGCTAATTTACTTCGGCTAATTAATGGTCTCAGCTAAAAGCATGAATTAATTATGATAAGAATGTAATTTCAACCATTTAAATTATATTATTTAATTTTAAAAAAAATTATATTATTTAATCATATGAAAATAAGGATTTTTATACAATATATATTTTCAAAAAATGTATATCAACACAAAAATATTATTAATATGGTATTAATTACATTTAATTAGTCTTTTGATTTATATTTATTTTAAAAAAAATTAAGTCTTAAGATATTATGTAACTTCTTCATCAAGCTAATCCGAAATGTCACTTGATTTTGTTTAAAAAATATACCGACTTTAATTTTCAAAACTTGGACCCACCTGATCTAATTAAGTTTATTAAGATATTATAATTACATGTTGGCATGTTTAAATGCTTTAATGCCAATTAGTCTTTTAAGTAAGTTTTCATGCCAGTTCAAACTTTTAACAATGTCACATAAGCCTATAAAAAAAGGAAAAATATTTATTTTTAAAGGATATAGAGTTATGTTATTTTGAATGAAAGAAAAACACAAACTAATATTTTTTTATTTAAAATTTAAGTTAAAAAATACTTTCCCCATGATTTTTATTATTTGTGTCTTTCTTTCACCTAAAATGACATAACTTTATGTCATTTAAAAAGGACAAACATCAAACCAAAATAAAAATAAAAATTAGGTTAGACTAAAATTTTATATACCAAAAAAAGTAGCCAGATTTAACTTGCTTGCATGTCTAGTTATAGTGACCGCAAAGTCTATATTTACATATTATCTTTGTTATGCAACTTGTATACTACTGATAACAGAAACAACAAAAGTATATATATCAATTAACTTCGTATCTTTTTTTTATAAAATGGAAAAAATGTAAGAAATGGTGTATAATCGTCATTTTATTCATTTATTTATTTTTCCTTTGGCTTCCCAATATATTTATCTCTTACATACACGTAAAAATATATGGTGTTCATATTTTTTTTTCTCTATTCTCTTCACATGAGTTTAATTATTGTCTCTCATGTTATAGGAAATAAAAATCTCTTCTACACAAACACAAAAATATATGAGGCCCATGTGTGCTAATGTGAGGAGAAGAGAGAGAATGAAAAAATATGGACCTCTCACACTTTTATGCAATGTTATAAAAATTCAATCGACCCCGCCGGGTCAACCTAGAAATTGGTGAACCGGTCATATAACCTATCCGGTTTAGATATTAGATCGGCCATGTAATGAAACCAGTGTGACTCAATGGGATCCGATCAGTTTTTCTAAAAATCGGCGACCCGATCGATTCAACCAATGACTTGACTCGGTTCATAAAAAAAATAAAAAATTTGTTCGTTCTCATCAATTGATGTCCTTCTTTTTTTCACTCTCACACACAAATAATTTATTTTCTTTTGAAATATTTGAGTGTTCATTTTCCTTATTGACTTAGATACGTTATGTACCTACAACACTAATATTATTTTGATTATGCAATTTGCAGGAAATTTTGATTTCATTTATAGTTAGTGATGTCGTCTACTGAACCAAAGCACCAGTATCACAAGTATTATATATTTGATTGATCTTTTGTTGGACAATGATTTGTAATTTATTATTTTTCATATTAAAATATTTGAAATTGATATTTTTTTACATGTATTTGAGTATATTTTTAGTTTTTTAATATAAATTACAGATTTACATATATTTATCGGGTCATGCAGTTAAACCAGTAATCCACTTGTTGAACCAGTGACCCAGTAATCTAGTATCTCGACTGCGTCAATAATTGGGCTGAGTTTAATAAAATTGCTTTATGTACATATAGAAGATAAAATTTATCTTCTACAGCATAAAAAAATATTAAACTCATATATAAAATATAAAATGTAAATGCATAAATTTGAACTTTGTAACATACTCCGTGGTTATGATTCTTATGATCCCACATGACAAGCTTAATATAACACGAAAATGCAAAAGTCCAAATTATGAAATACATTCCAACGATATATATATGAATCCCACGTGACATTCAAATCATCTAATAGCACATGGCATTCAAACTTGCTAGTCATCCAAATCATGGTGAGTTTGGATAAGTAGATGGAAGAGGGCCAAGAGTCCAAAGAATGATGGTTGGTACTTGACACTTCAAGATCAATACTCAAAACTCAATACTCGTGGAAGATTCTTTTAAGTTACGTGATAATAATAACCAAGCAACTAGATATTTTTCAAATGAGTGGCTTCCACACACCCCAACTTTTTGTTATTTCATAATCCCAATCTTATACTATTTTTCACACAAAATCAACAACCAACGACCACAGAACATAAATAAAACATATAAAACGCAGAGGACAACGTAGTATTTTTTGGTCTCTTTCACACGAACATAAGAACCACACAGAAACCATACCCTTTTTGTTGCAGAAGAAAATCATTGGCAATGACCTCCCAAGCTTCCTCCTTTTCCGTCGCCGTTCCTTCCATCGCTTCCCCTTTCCGGCGCAACCGTAATCTCCCCGTCGTTCGAGCCCAAGGTAAAGTTCATTCTATTGCTCTTAGTTTTCTCATACTATTTTTTTTTTTTTTTTTTTTAATTCTCCAATTGATTCTGATTGCAATTCTCCACACCCCAATTGGTTATTATTGCATATTTTGAATAAGTGCTCTAAATATTAAGCAAGTTTTGCTCGTGGTTCTCTTTGTGTTTGTGATTGTGTTTATAGTTTCATCACATCTTCATCCGGAAGCTGTTTGTGGAAATGCTCTCTGAACGAGTTCTGGAATTCTGAGTTTTTTCTTATGTTCCGAAATTAATTTTTTTCCTTGTGAATTGGGATTTGATGCAAAGCTCTGTGTTTGTCAAATTTGAAAGCTTTTTGGCTTTTGACAGAACTTCGAAATGGTAATATGAATGTTTGTTAGCTTAAATATGCATTGCATGCGTGTAGAGTTTGGAGGTTTAGTCTTCTTTTACACATACATACACAATAATTTTGTTCCGGAATCTATTAGCCCATTTTTTTTCGTTGACTCAGTTTTCTGTGGCCAAAATTTTGTATTGGTTTTGCTTTTAATTTTGGTGAAATAATTTGCTGGTTCTTTCAGTGGAACCATCAGATAAATCTGTTGAAATCATGAGGAAGTTTTCAGAGCAATATGCCCGTAAGTCAGGAACATACTTTTGTGTTGACAAGGGAGTCACTTCTGTTGTTATCAAGGTACATTCTCTATCTTTGGCATATAAGTTCTCTTGTAATATGAATTTTATTTTTTTAGACATTTTCCCTTCTTGTTTGAGTAGATGCCATTGCCAAATAAAAAACTCATAGTTCATTTCATACTCTTTTAGTTGATGATATGAATCTTGGTGCAGTAAGTCCTGCGATGTCAGGAAGTTTTGCTGTTTTCTAAAAAGTGAGAGTCATGGAGATTTGTTGTGTTTGGCATCGTTGCATTTCAATGTAAATTAAAAAATAACTATTAGAAATTTATAAAGGGTTTTTCTCTACTTGAATTTAACCCTTCTTTGTGAGATCTATACCTGTTTTAGTAGTGTATCAGTGCAGTGTACATATAGATCTATGCTAGGTGCTACCTGCATTATATAAGATTGACTGTTGAATTCATATTTCATGCTCTGAATCGTTCTGGAATGCGTTCCTTCCATTAGGCAATTCATTTATTTATATTTAGTATGATATTCTTATCAAATGACTGTATATTTTTACTCTGCCTGCCACCTTCTTAATTTGAGAGCTGGGGAACTTCTGTAGGGGTTATGGTTTTTAAATTTCATTTGTTGACAATACTAGGAGGCCATCATCTTAGATTGTTTGAGAAGCAAGAAGTTGGTAATGACTGCTAGTTTTTCTTGTTCAGCTATCAGGATCCATAAGTAGGTGCCCCCCAACACACACAACCCATCCAATTTGAAACATTTGTGAATGTAGAGGTTATGGATACCTACATTACTTCTGAAAATGCTGGGAGGTGTCCATCTTAGCTTGTTTGGTAAACCAAAGACTAGGCTTTTCTGGTGTAGTATGCTTTCATGGGTCTTTTGGGATCTTTTAATAGTATCCAAATGTATACTTTTGAATGGATAATGGTAAGCTACATGCTTATTAAATTTCGTGCAGACTGCAGAGATAATTATTTTTTTCTTTTGGTTAAAAGAAGAATTTGTTGAGAGAAAGAAGAGGAATGCATCAAAGGATAGAGATTAGTTGATTTTATAGCTTAATCTTAAACCTTTGGGGTGATTATTCAGTTTCAGAAAATCAACCTCACCTTATTTCTCTTAGGTACTCTTAGTTGCCTGTTTTCAATCAAGATTTTCTAGGGTGGTTTTATATTTTTGGGTCTACAAGTTGTTTTTTCCTTTTATCTTTTCTAAGATTTTGGTTGGCTAATTTCTTTCAGATACTATGATAATAGCTTGACATCTTAGTGATTTGATATTAATAAATATAATAATGATAATAACAAAATTGAACATTGTATTTGCAATTTGATATTTATATTAATATCCAAAGCACTTTTAGGATGTTTTTAACCAAACAATAAGTTGCTTTATATATGAAATGCTTTTGACTTGTAGTTACTAAACTTGATATTTTGTAAAGGCAAAGCACGAACTCTGGGGCACAAGACTCCCTGACTTTGCGAGGGCAAGGGTTACAGTTGATTGTACGCAGTCTTTCCCTTACATTTTTTCAACTAAGCTATTTCCTATACTCGCAAAGCTGGGGAGCCTTGTGCACCGAGGTTTTCTCTTTGACCTTACAAAATCTCAAGTTTAGTAACTACATGTCAAAAGCATTTTATATATAAAGCACCTCCTTGTTTGATTAAAAACTTCCTAAAAGTGCCTTGGATATTAACATAAATATCAAATTGCAAATACAGTGTTCAATTTAGTTATTATCAATATTATATTTATTAATATCAAATTAGTAAGATGTCATTATATTAGCATAGTTTCTGAAAGAGATTAGCCAACCAAAACTTTATATTTAGTATAAATCCAAAAAAGTATCTGCTCACAGTCACAATAGTTCTTTTTAAACATTATCAAATTCACACCCCTTGTCATAAATGTTTTTTTGGTTTTAGAGCACCTTTTTAAATTTTATTTTCATCCTTTTAATATGGAAAATGCAACTTTTATTTGTTTCTAGTTGCTCAACAGATCATGTGTTGGGCAGAATCCTTGGAAGGGAAATGACTAAAAACACAGTCGGAACTAGTAGGTCACATGGATTTTTTTTTTTTTTTTTTGGGTAAGCTGTAGGTCACATGGATTTAAACGTGGAATGTTAGGTATAGACAGCTAAATAAGTTATCTAGCCTGATTTGTTACAGTTTACCCCATTTCTAAGCTAGAATCTACGTAATTGAAAACTAGTTCTGAGAGTTTTGCAGTAGATTTTGATAGGCGTCATATTAAGGCCTCCTGAAAACAGCAAATAAGGAAAATTATTTGAATCACCTAGACTGGCATGTTGGAATGAAATTATACGAAGTCTAAAAATCAGTTTTCCAGATTGTAGTCTGATGAGGCAATATTCTCTTCCAGTAATACCACATACTCCAATTCAGGAAAGGACAGATGAAAATAAACATACATGTGTGTCCATATGTGCATAATACGGAAACAGATTCTTTTATTTTAAAATCTCTTTACAAACATTACATAGCTGGGGTCCTATTAAATTTTTTGAATATTTATTTAGAAAGGGAGGGAGCTAGCTGAAGCAGTGGTAAAACTATTCCTTTGTGATTGAAAGGTCATATGTTCGAATTTGTGAAACAGTTTTTTTGCAAATATACAAGGGTAAGCCTGGGTATAAGGATTGTCTTTATCTCTGCCCTCACTGGTTAGGGTTTAAAAAAGAATATTAAGAAAGGGAAAGACAGTAAAATTTCACATGACATGGTCTTGTCATGTAAGATTTTATCATGAGAGAATCCATTCCCCTATTATACTAATATTGAAAGTAGTCATTTTCTTGTGTAATTAATGTTTCTTCTATTATTTCTATTTTGGAACAGGGCTTGGCTGACCATAAAGATACGTTGGGTGCACCGCTGTGCCCTTGCCGGTACATACTTGTTCTTTCAACTTGTTGTGAACCATAATTTTTTCTTCATACTATAGTTCTGGCAGTGTAGCTGCGTACGTAATTTGATCGAGTTCTTATGTTTTCTAACTTTCTAAGCCCAAAATTATTGTATTTTAGGCATTACGACGATAAAGCTGCTGAGGCTGCGCAGGGATTTTGGAATTGCCCATGTGTTCCAATGAGAGAGAGGTAAGCATTATCTTTATAACTACTTGGAACATATGTGCCTTGTATGATCTTAAGTTATCAAGTTTGAAGCTACTTCTTTTGCAAGGATAAGTTTTATTACAAGCATGTGTTTGTTTAAATCCGTTATATTTAGTATTGTATTGATAATGTTTAGAGAACAGCTTATATATCATTCTTGACAGATGTTATACATTGGTTACAAAATAAGAAGCTAGCTACTTGTCTTTACCCTTCAGAGAATACGTAATGACAACCAGTAGGCCCTTATGTTCTTGGAGAATGTTTTAATGACTTTTTCGAGTACGAAATTCATGTTTAATCTCCTTCTGTATTTTGTTTTTACATTTTATAGAGTTATAATTACATATTTACATATAAAACAATTTTATCGAATAGAACATTTTTAGCCATGATCTTATTATCTTGTTAATACCTATTTGTTCAAGAGGTAGGTCATAATAAACTCAGGCCAAAAACTTTGTAGAGACACTCTTGTTATCAGGTTTGAAACCTGAAGTTAGTATATATTTTGGTCAGAGGCAGTGAGTAACTTTAGCTGTTTTGAGTAATACTAGTGATCTGATCTCTACTGGAGTATTTGTGCTATAAAAGCCCTTATATTTTTTGCATTTGTTGTTTGTGAAGAAATGTGGTTTTTTTTTTAAAAAAAAAAAATTATGAAACTTTTAAGTTCAGTCCCACCTGGATATTGTGTTTTCTAATTGTGGTTTTGTTTGATAGGAAGGAGTGCCACTGCATGCTCTTTCTCACTCCTGACAACGATTTTGCTGGCAAGGAGCAGGTAATTCCTTAATTCAATTTTTCGAATTTTGATTTTGGTCCTCATGGTTGCAGCTGGTTGTGTATGCCGTGTTGGCTGCAACCTGCAAGAACTGTTGTTGTGCTCCTTGACTTGGCACATACATATTTTGTTAAGAGTACAATTATTTCTTTTAAAGTTAAATGCAACATTTTCTTGCCTTGCAGGCTATCACCTTGGATGAAATTAAAGAAGCAACAGCAAATATGTAACATAGACTATTGTGTATTAAGGTACTTGTTACAGTCTGTATGTTTGGAGAGACAAATGAAAAGAAGAGTGTAATAATATATGTAGGTAATATATTTGTAATTACCGAAAATCACATGTAATTCTTTTTACTTTGCTCTTTCTGAATAGCCTCTAACCCTTACTGTATTACAAATCTCATTCATTTCATCTCCATTTTTGTTTTATGCTGACCCTGAAATGCAGCTCTATTTTAATTAGTTTCGCATGTTTATCACATAAATAAATCAATATTATTCATTTTTCATTTTTTTATCTTAATTGGTTCTTCATAACCGATAAGTTCTGAATATTGATCTAGTATAGTGTACAGATGGACAAAAAAAAAGAAGAGGATTTGATGTTTTTCATGTTATAAGAAATAATTTTATCTCCTGGACACATAAAAATATGTAGGGTTCATGTATTTACCATATAAAGAGGAGGAAAAAAACAAGTTTCGTGCACTTTTATGTGTATATAGAAGATAATTTTATCTTCTATAACATGAGACATTTTAAACCCAAAAAAAATAGGAGAGAATTCTTAATAGTATGGAAAAGAAATCTTATTTGTACATTTGTGTCCATAAAGAAAGGCGCATATTGTTATATTTCCGATATGCAATATTTCCCCAGTAATACCTTTGGTAGAGGTTTAAAATCTTAATCCTGGACCCGTGCCGAATCGGATTAGTTGCGAAGCAATGAACCGATTAGAATATTTTCAAAAAAAAATGAAAGGTGCATATTGTTAGGGTTGACCTATTGATGCGTTTATTTTATGAGAAATGTATTTCTCAAATCACTGGAGATAAAATTATCTTCAGTGAGTCCAAAACGACATCGTTTTGGATTGTAAGATTAAAAATTATAATGATAAAGACTAATATAACTCTGTAATAAATTAGAATTACAAAAACAAGTCACAAAATGACGTCATTTTGTGCTAATCGTAAATAATTTACCTCCGTTAGTTGGAGAAATGTTTTACCCTTATTTTATATGGAAAGATTGATGTGTGCTACCACAATTTGCATGCTAGAAATGCAATATCTGCTTTAAATAAAAACAAACTCCACAACAATAGATTCCTATATCGTAGTTTATGGATGTAATGTAAGTTTTTAATTTTTTTGTTTAGATTTCTCTACCAGCTCATCAAGTAATTAATTAATCCGGTCAAATCAATAAAATCAATTCATTAATTAATTCGGTCAAATCAGTAGGATTATAATGACGGCACAAATTTCCCTACCAAATTTTTGAGATAGTTGCATACCCCAGACTCAATTTCAACATTCAAATTGCAATTATCATCCATTGCCATCAATAACAACTCAAGAATTACACAATTCACACGCTAAGCAATTATCAATTTAACAAGCCTTAACAGAAGGAGAACTAGTAGTAGTAGAACGAGGACCAGCACTCTTGCCACAGTCTTGTTCTTTCTTTGAAGCCAGAGCAGCAGCCAAGAACCGATTGTTCCCCCTTCCATCAGTAACAGCAGAAGATGAGAAGGAGGGTGAAACTCCTTTCCTACAAGCATGATCAGCAGGGAAACGGTGCTTGAGACACACCTTAACATTGCAAGTTTTACAAGTACTGTTATTAGAAAACGTCAAAATCTGCTTGCAGCGCTTAACGGGGCAAATGGGTTTCTTCTTCTTGTTGGGGTCACAGTTTCCAGAGTTGTAATGCCTCTTCAAGATTGCCTCCTCATCTTGTCCCACATGGCCTGTGGTCTCAATGGACATGGAACATGTTTCGCAAACAACCACTTTTCTGCTGTTGTGGTCGGATTTCGGGCACGCATGGGACTTGTAGGATCTGTGTTCCACACAGAACACCTGCAATTGCACACACGTTAATCCCTTATACTATTTTTTTTATAGATATCAAATGGTGCATGTGAAGTCCTAATAAACGATTTTGAGTTTCTGTCACTCCACCCTTTTTCATGAATTGAAAGTCTCAAGATTTAAATCCACTATCCTTTAGGCAGGTCAAATCCTGTTGTCTAACTAAGTAGCCAATTTAATAGTTTATATTATTTTCTAGGCTATTTGACCAATTGAGATTTTTTGTACTTTTAATTTATCAATTTAGTATTTGGTTCAAAGTATTTACGAACGAGGATCATTTAGTGACGTGAGAGGGACACAGCGTCACTGAGTGCCGCTACCAACCCCCCACGCCAATCATACTTTTTTTTTTTACTTTTTCCTATTGAGTGCCGCCCCCCCTCCCCCGGGGCACTCACAGAATTGTGCCAAGTGGTACAATCTGGTTACTCCTATTACCGTAAAACTTCGGAAAGTCATAACTTTTAACTCGGGTATCCAAATCAGATGATTTTTTTTTTGATTTCACATAACTTTTCGAGATCTACGCAATGACATCTCATTTAACATATTTTATTTCTCACAAACATAATTCAAATCTGTAAAAAGTGTAATTAGTGTTGCAAATTTGAACTATATTAATGAAAGGTAAAATATATCAAATGAGGTGTCATTGGGTAGATCTCGAAAAGTTATGTGAAATCAAAAAAAGAAAATCATTTGATTTGAATACCCGAGTCAAAAGTTATGGCTTTCTGAAGTTTTACGGTAACAGTAGTAACCAGATTGTGTCACTTGGCACAATTCTGTGAGTGCCTCAGGGGAGGGAGGGCGGCACTCAATAGAAAAAAGTAAAAAAAAAAGAAAAAGTTGTGAGTGACGCGGGGGGTTGGTAGCGGCACTCAGTGACGCTGGGTCTCCATCGCGTCACTAAATGACCTCCGTTCGTAAATACCTTGAACCATATACCAAATTGGTAAATTAAAGGAATAAAAACCCCTAATGGGTGAAAGAGCCTTATTTTCTAACACATCTCCTCATGCAATAGTTTGTTAGTTTTGAAGTGTGGTTTTGAAGTATGGATATTGTGTAGGCCCAATTTTTATTTTTTATTTATTTATCTTATGCTTATTTAATTCCACACATTGGGGGCAGCGAAGATTGAACTCGTAACTTTGTGATCAAAGAAACTTTGATACTATATAAAGAATCACTCTAACTCAAAATATTAATCTTAAGTTATTAAGTTATGGTAATTTTAATGATTTATATTATTTTCTAATAGTATTTTAATTCTACACCATGCATTCACCATACATAAATTTTCACTTGTTTGATGACTAAAGAGAGGTACACAAAATTTTCAGATTATAATATCATTAAAAATTTAACATAAGAGGATTCATTCTTTGTTTGTAACGGAAAAAACAATTGTTTTGTTAATGAATTAACAATTTTTTTAAGGAAAGTTGTTGCGTTGATAATTAAAGAATACAAGTTAATAACTATAATTGAATTTTGATCATGTGTGAAATTTAACGCATAGAAGAAACAATTTTTTTTTCCAGGTTAATTATAAGGTGATGGAGAATCATAGGAATAAAAGAAGGAAAACGTAGGAAAGTGTTGAGAAAAGATGAAATTACCAGTTTGCAACCGTCGCATGCGAAAGGAAGGAAATCTAGCTGGTTGCAATCATGTTGTTGACAGTGTTTACCCAAATCTGGGAAAGCTTCTGTTCCCCCTGATGCCATGGATTTGATATTGAAGAGGTTTTTGTGACTTGTGAAAGAATGAAAATCGATGAATAAGGTTTGTTTCTTTATGAATGTTAATTGAAATAAAACAAGGATTGAAGAGAATAAAAGGAAGCGTATATTTATAGGTTTGGTAATGGCTTGGGGCCTAAGACAGGTGCTACGCGTCACATATTTCAACAGAAGATTCTAGTGCCATTGGCAGGATACGCGGTTAGATTTTTTTTTTTTCTTAACAGGATAATTGATATTTTGTTTTCGGCCTTTCTTGGGTTTTTTTTTTTTCAAATAAAATTTTAGTTACTATACTTTTTATTTTTTTTTCTTTTTTATTTTTTGTAGAAATTCATTTAACTTTTTATTCTTATAATTTTTTTTAGCATTATTTTTAATTTTTTTGTTTTCAACTATTTAAATTTTAGCTTTCATTACTTGAAAATTTAATATTTATATTTTTAAATATTTCATTTTTAATTATTTAATTTTTAATATTTATAAAAAATTATTAAATTATTGGTCTTTACAATTTATAAAGAATTATATTCATAGTTTCTACTTATTAAGAGGTTAGTTCTTAAATGTTGAAATCTTAAAATAATAAGTTATTCTATCTATTTTTTTTTATCAACATTTGTTTACCACTCTCTAACACCATTAGATCAGAATCTAAATTCTGATCTATTGATATTAGAAAATTGTATGTAAAAATAGACAAAAAAAAATAGATAAAATAACATATTCCAATTTTAAAGCTATTAAAATTGATCTTGTTGTGAGGTGTGTTGGTAATTTGCATGAGGTTATAGATTCGAATTTCAGTATCACTATTGTATAAAAAAAAAATCTTAAATGGTAAAAAATAACAGGAACTCATATCTAAAAAATAAACTATATAAATTGAGTGAAAATTATGACGATGAAATCTTATTCAATATTTATTTTTCTTAAAATGACTATATCCCTGTTGCATGACTTGAAAATTAAAAATTATCTATAGTCAGAAATTAGGAAATAAAATAAACAAAATGGGTTTTTTATTCGTAAGTGTAAAATTGCCTTAGAATGATGGATATTGAAAATCCTTATAATGAATATTATTTTATACTAATGCGAAAATAAAAATAAATAAAATAGGAATATAAAGAATAATCATAAACATTAATTAGTAAAAAAATAAGCTAAAAATAAGTCAGAATTTTTTTCTAAATGTAGTATTTGGTATCAAATACTTTGGTATTCAAGTATATATAGTAGAAATACTTTAATATATATTTTGGTATCAACCTTCTCGAGATTTTAGTAATCCAAACATGGGTATTGATGATATTGAAATATTCTCAAAATATGGCGTGAAGAGTGTTAAAATGGGCTCATACAACTCATTATTTCAACTTTTTTATTGGCTGAGCAGGCCCTTACAGAGCCTCTTTGTTTAGAAATATACGGTGGAAAATGAGTTTGAAAACGTTTTGTTTTCGATGAAAATAAATTATTCTTATTTCATTTGGTGTAATTTTATTAGCATCTTGACAGCAATGATGCACCGACACCGACACGCGACATGGGACACGACGACACGTCGACACGTTAATTTTAAAAAATGTTAGATTTCGACACGTTAGGACACGTTTTGATATTAATAATATTTTTAATATACATAATATAATTTATATTTAATACATGTTGCAATTCATAATAAGTCATATAATTAATTTAATATTTGAATTTTATAATATAAATCAAAAGACAAATTTTTATCCCTTGAAACTTAAAATCAATGTCACATTGTTTTTCGGATATTTAGTTTGTATAGTTTGTAAATTATGTTTTGGGACTAAATGGTTGTTGCACATATAACTAGGTATGTGCAGCTACTTTGTAGACCTTTTGATTACATTTCCTCGAGCTTTGCGTTTCTTACATCCAGTCGATGAGGATAAGGCTAATAAAAAAAATATACTGACTTAGTTTTCTTCCTTCGTTTTGTGGTTTTCTTTCTTTCATTTCTTCTGTTCCTTCGTTCAGTTTGAAGGTTGATGATGGTGGTGGTGCCATGCGACTCTTCGTTATTTGATGTTTTGAAGAGGGCGAAGGTGTATGAGGAGCGGTGCCACAACGTCACCGTCGTCTTCATCATCGATCAGAAAGAACAATGATGTGTCGTTGGAGAGATTAATGATGGATGATGAAAGTGCAGAGCTTCTTCTCCTTAGTCCACAGATTTTAATTTTTTAAAAAATTCAAAAATTTTACGTTTTTATCCTTTGACCGCGTCGGACACGGTCAAAGTCGTGTGTCCACATAGTCAACGTGTCCCAAAATATTGACTTCGTGTCGGACGCGTGTCGGAACGTGTCGGAGCGTGTCGGTGTCCGACACGTGTCTGACACGCATTTTTTCAAAAAAATAACGTGTCGGTGTATCACAGCTTGACAGTGTCATTCAATTTACAATTTTTAATTTTGTATTTTAAAAAATAGTGTTTGTTATAGTGCTTAAATATTGAAAATATTGAACTTTTTATTTAATTATCTAAAGAGTTATTTATTTAAAGGGAAGGATTATATGGATGTTTTATTAATATATCCTTTTCATTTTAAAGACTAATATTATTTTAGGAGTAATCAAAAGGTAACACTATGGTATAGATAAATGATTTTTTAAACTTGTATATCAATACATAATAAGTTGTATCTATTGTTGAGAATGGTACGAGGGAGCGTAAAACCCTTTGTAAAGGATTTCTCCACCAACGGGCGTGACAAATTACTATAAGTAGGCTGACACCACATCTCACTTGGTCAACGTAGTAAACGACAAACCACTATAAGTGGCTAACATTACATCTCAACCAAAAATTTAAAGCTATAAGTTTATAGGTCTTTTACACTTATATGGTCCTTAGTTGATTCATGTTTAACTGACGTGGGACTTCACTACAACTTACACTTTGAATATTTCTAACATCTATGTACCAAAAATATTTTTAAGTGGTACATTTTTTTAAAACTGTGATCACGTTTACTTGGTCTAAAACTTACCCTAAAAGTATTTTTAATTTATATGATATGATTGATTAATTTTAATATCATGATTAATTATTATAGGAATTTAATTTAAAATATTTATAAGTGTGAGATTGGCTAATAAGGTACTTGTTTTAATATTTTCTACCAGTACAAGTCCAAGTTTTATTTCCTTAAAAATGTAGAGAGAGATCAGATTGAGAAAAAATCTGCCAATTGCTAAGCCTATCCAAGTTTTGCCATTTTTCCAGTATCAACGTCAAGTTTGAGATGGAATTTTGGCAAGAAAGGCATTATTTGCAATTCTTGATGTTCATTATGTTTTTTCTTTAGTATTTTTCAAAAGAATTCTTATGTAATGGGTCATAATAAGGGAAAAAAGTTTGGTGGTCCACGCCCACGTGGTCTTTTCATTTAGTGAGTAACACTTGGACAAAAGTTTATTTTTTATTTCTCCTCTCTCTTTTTTCTTCAATAGTTATCTCATTTTAATTAGTTTGGACCACTTAATTAATGATGATCCAGAACCACCAAAATTCTTCTCCATAATAAGATCATGTCCCAAGCTTAGTTCATTAATAATGACAAAGGTATTTGGTATACACCTTAGTAATATACACTGGCTAGTAGATCCCAGGCTTAGGGCCTGTTTGATGTGATGTATAAGGCCTGATAGTATAAGCTTATATTATACGTTATGACATTTTCAATTGTTTGGTGTGACCATCGTATAGTATAAGCTTATACAACATGACCCCTTTAGACATCAAAATGATGTATAACTTAATATGGCCTAGGAGGGGTGGATTAGGCTTGATAAGGGATTGATGTATTAATATTGATTACAAGTACAATTCTCAAGAACTAATATATCATTTCAATTTTTATATATTAAAATAATTTTTTTTAATATATTAATTTTTAAAATATTGGAGGATATTATCTTATACAATATGATACCAAACGCTAGGGATGTTCGCGGTCTGGATTGGATCGATTTTGGAAGTAAAAATCATCCAATCCAATCCCTTCGGTTTGAGCATATATAATCATCCATTCGGTTTGGATTTTTTTCCAAATCCGATCTGATCCAATCCAATTTTTTTCGGTTTGGATTGGATCGGTTTTCGGTTTTTTGAAATCCTAAAATTTATTTCAAAATTATTGTGCAAATAACATCTTTTATATATATTGACTTTTTTTTTGAAATACAAAAGATAAAATTTAGTTGATGAGATGTGACTAGATTTTTTCTTAGGTTTAGTTAATGGGTTAATGAGTCTTGGGTTTAGAAATTTTTGGGCTATGATTGAAGAAAGACCCACATAGGTAGAGGAGAAAATATATTGGATCGGTTTGGATTGGATCAGTTTTCATCAACCCATCCAAAAACTGATCCAATCCAATTAAAATTCGCGATTTTTTTTCGGTTTTTGGTTTTTCGGTTTTCGGTTTATTCGGTTATTGGTTTTTCGGTTCGGTTATCGTGGTTTGAATCGGTTTGGATTGGTTGTTGAACACCCCTACTAAACGCTGGATAATATTAAAATTTAATCAAATCTTATACTACTAGATCTTATACTATCAAGCTTTATCATATACTATGCAACAAACATGCCCTAAATGTGATGCTCTTACTTCATTAATAATGGCTAGTATTCTACACTAGTCTGACGTGTTTAAGTTTCATTTTTCATTTTTAATAGAAAACGAGTTTTTTTTTTTAATCGTGTTTGCTCTTAAAATCTTGTCCGATTATAAAAAAAAGTTAAATAATTTAAAAAGAGTTACTGGCCTGAGGATTGTTTAAAAGTTGAAGGAACCGTATCCACAAGCCATAATGTGGATGTTTTTTTTTTTTTTTTCTCTTCTGTTTTTAGATGAATTGTATTCAGATTTTGGGGATAATAAAAATAATTAACGTTTCTCGTGTGACACGAGAGTTATCACCTATAACCCAAAATAATATTATTTTGGGGTTTGAAAAAAAAAACTATTATAATAAAATTCATCATATAAGGAGAAAGTAAAGTTTTTAAAATACGGTAA